CCTTGTAGAGACAGCAGTGCTTTGATTCTTTTAGAAGATGCCCATTTGGCCTCTTCACCATTATTTTTCTTGACAAGAAATAGTAACAAATTTAAGAAAGTATGCATGCCTATTTAACGGTTCTTAGTAATTATCTTTGGACAAGCACTCAAAAGGTTTGTTCAAATCCTTCCTTCTGAAGGAAGGATTCATACTCAAGACATTCTTCTCTTGCTTGGGTGGCGCACTGGTGGTCCCACTTGCAGGAGAGTACAACTCACATGCCTAGTCATATGTTCATTGCTATTATTAATTTCATGGCACAGCACAAATGTCTTTGAATTAGTGCACCACAATAAATCAATTACTCAGTTTCTCCTATATGAGACCTTCACTTTTTAAACAAGACCTCTCAGGTCATAGCTATTTCTCATTACCATTGGACACTTTCTGGCTGCCCTATAATTAAGGCCATGCTAGTATATAGAGGGGAAGCAAAAACAGAAAGGTGTTTGCCTTGGGATTACTATTTAAAAGTGCCTTTTTATTAGTAGCTCACTCTTAAAAGAAAAGTAGACTTCAAAAATCACCTACAAGTTAAGAATGCAACTAGGATTCTTATACTATAAAGATGATAGAACAAAGATGATCTTACTCTGCATTTTTGAACAGGTGCACAGGGTTCAGGGGTTTCCAGCTGACTCGTTATTGTTTCCTCTGGATCCAACTCCAATGAAGAAAAAAGAGGAGAATCAGGAGGTGATATAAGCCTGAAACAATACAAGATCATCTGAATATAGACCATGAGGCCTTGCATATTATTAACAGAAGAGTAGCCATCTACATACACTCAATTTTGTAATATGCACACATTAAATCCTTAATTCCAGAAATGTCTATCAATCTTTTGACACAAAGAAAGAATTATCCAAGACCATGTAATTTATCAACAGCAGTATTCCCGTTTTGCAATTTGGATCAAGAATCTGATACCAATGGGATGTTTAATCAATGTGATGGAGATGCCAATTCATTTATACCATTACAAATTGCATAAGTAGATTCTTTTTAATATCATTAGCAAAACAATTTTCTTCCTTGCATTTCGGGTATTCACATAACCAAACAGTAACAGTTACAAAAAGATGGAGATTAAACACAAAGAGGAGTATAATTGGCATGAAACAAACATCTGAACTGAACAAATTAACATGTAACATTGGGAATCAACATAATGTTCTGATAAATACCTAAGCCAACAAAACATAATAAAAACAAACCAGTGCATACGGGGAAAAGTACAAGAAAACAGTAACCAATTACCATTCATAGTCATTTTTATAATTCTCTGAATTGAGAAAATCATCACCACCAATCTTCATAGCAGGTGTGGTTGATGCGATACTGTATATAGGTGAACTTCCAGTTGCTGATCCTGCAGGCAAAAGGTAATTGTAATGTGTAGATTTGATGCAGAAAATCACCATAACCAAAAGATTGCCAAAAAAAAAAAAGGCATACTCCGTAGCTAAAATAAAAGATTCACAGAGCCACCGACGAGTATTCCAAAAGACAAATGCATTATTCAATCACAAAAATCCCATACCGTGAAAATTTAAGAAAACAGAGATAATACAAAATTAAAAGTTTTCCATACCAAGAGGAGCATCAAACTCATCGGAGTTTTCAAGCAGAAGAAGATCGTCATGTTCCTTCTCTAGTCTACACATTTCAAAGAACAACGCTAGCTCCTCGTCCTTCTCCTTCATCACGGCGTTCCTGAGACTCCCCATTTTCCCTCCTCCGCCTGGAAACTCCTATTTATCGCCTGCACGAACCCTAAACCCTTCAAATCAATATCACCATAGCAAAATACTAGTCTCCCCCTCCCCCTGCCCCCTCCCCTCACCCCCACCTCCACCTAATCAACCTTAGCCTTTCTCCCTCAGAACAGAGACGGAAACCACGTCGCTTATCTTCAAAAATTAGAAATCAATGTCCACAGATCGGAAATCCAGCTCCGACGCTCCGAATTTCCGACCTGAGAATCGGCTGGAAATCACACCGACATTTTACATTCTTCACGTGCATGTCCAAAAACCTCCAAAACTGAAATCACAGCACAATAATTAAGGAAAAAAATTAAAAACGCAAACATACGGATTCGCGAATTAGCAGAGTAGAAATCCGCGACATATGTATGTTTGAGTTGATAACAATGATAATATATATACACACACAGTGTGTGTATATCTATATATATCTATCTATATATAGCTTAAAAGGAACTGCATTGTTCAGAAAATGAAAGCTGAAATTTACAGAGAGAAGAAGGGATTTGGGAATGAATTTTTGGAGAGAGAAAGAGCGGGTATAAAATATCGGGACAGAAAATTGAACGGTAAAAGAATATATATTTATATATATTAGTTTTTTTTTCCATAAATAATATGAATTTGTCATATTGAGTTTTAGATAAGGTGGTATGTTGGTCTGTATCTTGTGACATATATGGTTATTTTTCATATATTTATTGCAATAATATTATATGAATCATATTATATATCATGTAGAGTGACTTTATCTAAATAACAGCAGCATACAAGTGTACATTTCTATACACATTGATATAACTTCTTAATTATTTATATAGAGTTCTTATTAGTTAAATCTAACATGAATGAAATAAATAGAGTTATATAAAATTCTACAAATTTATGATCATCTAGTCATAGGTAATAATTGATGAATGAGCAACAACACATATTTAAATTTTATTTCTATAGTACAACTTTCATGAGTTCTTTAGATTAAAGAGGTAAATCGGATACACTTATGAACACAACTAGAAACAAAACTAAGCGTTGATTGAACGACCTATTGAACTACTCCGGCAGGTCATATTTTAAACTTTTTACTTCACATTAAGTACATTGATTTAATAAGAATAATATACCAACTTTTATTATGTTTCATTAATTAATAAATATATAAAAAAGATTATAACATTTGTTATGAGTCACATTATGTATTTTATACGAAAGTCCACTGCTACTCAAAAACCTTATGGGGGCGTTTGGTTCAGGTTATATTATATAACCAATGGAATGTGACATTCCCGATCTTACATTCCTATGTTTGGTTCATATTCTCTGAGGGAATGCAACATTCCCTCCACATAGGATTTTGATGGGATTCCCTTCATTTTGTTAGGTAATGTAAAATAACCTTGAATATTTATAAATTTTGTCATGTTAATTCTAATTATTTAAAGATATACATTTTATGTTAGCTTATTATTATTATTATTATTATTATTATTATTATTATTATTATTATTACTGTAATTATATTATATATTTTTTATTATGTTATGTTAGCATATAAAATAATTTTGTTTCTCAAGTTCAAGATTTTAGTTAATATTTTAAAATCATATAATTATATATGATACCGTTATCTTATTTATTTAATTTAATTTTTAAATTTATTAAAATATATGAAAATATATTAAGGATACTATATATATATATATATATATATATATATATATATATAACCCTAAACCAAACATGATTATATTATATACCTCAATTTTAACTAAGCACAGAAATCTAACATTCCAAGTAATCTAACATTCCCAGCAATCTAAGATTCCCTAAGGTAATCTAACATTCCGTGAACCAAACGGCCCCTATAAGGTAAATCAGCGAGAAATTATGTTGTGCAAGGTGAACATGGTTCCAAAATTGTCATAATTGTGAATATAGAGTTCAAAAATTATGAACATAGAATTGTATAATTATGAACATAGAGTTCTATAATTGTGAATATAGAGTTCAATAATAGTGAATATGGTGTTCAAAAATTATGAACATAGAATTTTATACTTATGAACATAGAGTTTAGTAATTATGAACATAAAAACGTGTCCACCTTGCAAGGCAGTTTCACGACATAACAATTGTAAATCAGCCTAGGGAAGCCTTGGTTGACCCGGAGAGCCCAAATAACCTAAGCAGGCAAATTATATCGTGCACCGCGGTGCATAAACGATTATGCACCGCGTGTCAAAACGACGTCGTTTTATTTAATGAAAAGAAACATCATTTGTTTTGTGCTATTCCGCAAAAAGTAACTATGTTATTCAGTTTCATTTTGTATACACTGTAGTTGCATTTCGATATAACTACCGTTTCACTTCAATATAACTACAGTTTCATTCGATATTATAACACCCAAATATGTGAAAATGTTATTTAATTTTATTTTATATACACCATAGTTTCATTAATACACAACTACATGATCATTTCGATATAACTACAGCTTCATTACACAATATACACTCAAAAATGTGAAATGTTATTCAATTTCATTTTATATACACTGAAGTTTCATTTCAACACACCTACAGTTTCATTTCAATTCAATTGTAATTTCAGTTGATAATATAAAAATAATACGTAAGGCAGTGTCAGTTTAGATACACTGTAGTTTCATTTCAATACAACTACAGTTTCACTTCAATTGAATTGTAATTTCAGTTGATAATATATAAAATAATACGTGAAGCAGTATTGGTTTAGATACACTGTAGTGTCAGTTGATAATTAATATACCAAATATGCGCGCTCCGTTAATTATAACGGGACCGTTTCTTTAAGTAAAGAAACAGCGCCGTTTTGATCGCGGTCAGTCGCGCCGTTTTAATCGCGGTCCATGATATAACGACTGACCTAAGCAAGTATAAAAGTTTGCACGCTATGAAAAACTCATCGTACCTAATACGAGTAATTATTTATTGGATAAAACTTATAGGCAACATTAACTAGGAAGTACCTAACTACATAACCTTCCTTGGAAACCAATTAATATATACTTATTTTTGTAGTTTGCATCCAACATACGCAGAGTTAAGCAAGCTTTTTTCACCAAAAAAAAAAAAAAAAAAGAGTTAAGCAAGCTTACCTGAGAGACCACCTAACTTACATTGGAAACTTAATCCCGGACTTTCCATATTGCAACATAATCTTGTACATATTATTTGGGAATTGGAATCATTATAGCACCAAAAACACCATAAATTGCTGGTAGGATAGACTTTTGGGTACCTAAATTTTTTCACTGAAATTAAGAATTCATGATGATATAGAAACTGCAACCACTGAGTCACGAGATGTTCAGACATTGATTAAGGATGATCAAATGTGTTGCAGTGTTTCATCGCAAAAACCGCGGGATAAGTTAACCCGAAATTGCAGAATCCAGAAGTTTAGTGAGTGAAGGATGTACAGTTGAAGTTTAAGGATGAAATGTGATCAAACGTCTTCGGTGTCGCTGGGGGCGCGAGTTTCGCGGCTGGTCCAGTAGCTGCTCCCATCGGGGCCGGAAATCTTAAACCTGCTCAGATAAAAGAAGGCGTTAAGATAATATAGTCATTCGTAACTCATGACCTGACTCTGATATTTAGGGCCGTGTTCTGTTCCAACTAAAAGTCTAAGCTCATAGTTAGACTGTAGCAAAAACTATGTTTTGGGCGGTTCAGAAGAGTTATCAACTGACCGTTCAAGAACCGATTTGCCTTCTTTGTACTTTTGACTCTCGTCATGTGCAGTTTCCTGGAAGTGGTTCAAACGTTCGATCCGTTACTTGCAGCTACAGATATAAGAAAACAATTCGGGAACAAGTAAAGATGTTAGCGGTTTGGACTCACATATTTCCAGCCAACGATTGAGCCACAACAGACACAGAAAATGTCTGCAACAGTGTGCACGCCAGTCATCATGTGTCGATCTTCATTTGCTCCACAAGTGACATTCACTCTGTCATTTTAAATTTCAGCCAACAGAAGAGTCGAAGACAAAATGATTGGTAAATAAGTATGCAATATCGAGTAACCAAAGTGTTACGCTCTCAAATCTCAACCTGCTAGAAATGTCATAAAGTCCCGAAAAATTTTAGGGTAACTTTCAATTTGCATTGAAAAGTTTCATTCTTTTAAGTTAGTTCTGCAGCTCTCCGGTAAGCAATACTACGTTATGTCCTTTAACTATACTCAAGGAAGTATACAAAGAAACAAAGTTATCTAGTCGGTTTGTTACCGAGACCGAGAATATTTCGTGCCCAGAAAGCGTTACACTAGACCGTTTACCATGTAACTATAGTGGTGAAATCTGTTGTAGTGTGCAGAATCAAGGAGACTTACACCTTATTGAAGAGATAAGCCTTCCCATGTCGGCATTGGAAAGACTGAAGGAAAGAGCAAAGGGAAAACACGGAGTTAGAAAATTTTATAACGAGTGATCGAGATTCCTAAATGCAGTGATTGCACGCTCAAACTTTGATACTGAACTAACACGTAGAGAAAACAGAATAAATTCCAATGTGCAACCCATATATAAACACCGATTATGTCCTTAAGTATCAGATTCTCCTTAAAACAACAGAATTGTCTGTACATTTACAAGAGAAGGTGGAAAAACAACAATGCCATAACAGACTAGTTGACAGAAACGCTAGCACATTAGTAAAGTCCATGTCCTAAAAACCCGCAAGACAAAATATGAGGTTGGAAGAACGACCTTAAAACAGTCATTGAATTCAAGTAAAACTGTCTCACTAAAACGAAAAACGAACAATCTTGAGGGAAGCTTTTCTTCAATGGTGACTTGAACTCTATTAACAGTTAGCTTAGACGTTATTTCCATTAATAACAGTCCACTACCACTAGGAGACAATCCCATTTCCAGTTTTGGCACAGTGCAGAATCTAAGACCTTCCAAATATATGAGGTTGCAAGAACGACCTTAAAACAGCCATTGTATTCAAGCAAAACTGTCTCACAAAAACGAAAAACGAACTATTTTGGGTGAAATTTTTCTTTAATGGTGTCTTGAACTCTATTAACAGTTAGATTAGACATTATTTCCATTAAAACCAGTCCACTATGAGACAATCCCATTTCCAGTTTTGGCACAATGCAGAAACACAAAGAAAACACAACCATTACTAATCTACACATGATGTGATGATGACAATACAAAAACCCTGCAAAAGCACCTCAACAGACCAAAAGCTAAGAAGATCACTTCAACTTTACATTTCCACAAAAGGTTATTAGGAAAGGGAAAAGAAAAAACCAAAAAGGGCAATTCATTGGCAAGCTTATATTTAACAAGCATAAGGAAAGTCAACCATCCAGCCATCAGAATTACTCATTTCAGTAAAGAAAGAATCACCAGATAGATGAAATCAAAGAACCCAAATTGCAAATCTGACAGAAAATCTGAAATGGTAAGAAGTATTTGAACAAGTCAAAACTTTCTAGACTGTGCCATCAAGAATCATTCATTTCACTACAGAAGAAGCACCCAGCATATAAAACCAAACACCCAAAACTGTAAATCCATCAAAAAGGGGGAAATGGCAGGCATTTAAGAAAAACAAAAACTAAAAACTAAAAAAAGGTGAAATATTTGATGGATTTAGGAGAAGATGACTTAACCCTGGAGACCACGTCTTGAGAGAGAGCAAGGTGCGTTCCACAGTGTTTGCAGCTATAGATCTTGCCTTCAAGGCTCACCACAAACAGCCTCCCCATCTGCCTTCACCTCTTCAAATGCAAAAAAACGCAGTAAAGTTCAAGAAAATTCAGAGATGGGTTTGGCAGTTTAGTTTGATCAAGGGTCTTTGTGCATTGAACGTGAAGAAATTAATAAAGAAAACAGGAGAAAGAGAGAGAGAGAGAGAAGTAATGTACATTAAAGAATCGTCAAAGAATATAAAAATGAAGCTATCTTTGGGCGGTGAAGCATTAAGCAGTAGTCATACACTCATAAACATACTACATTTACAGGTAGATTATGTCAACCGTATCACCGATTTGCATTATGAAATCCGACAAATCTTTTAAGTTGACCCCATTATTTCGTATCCGAGTTCAATTATTGTCAGTACTTTTTTTGTAAGCATTTATTATACAATTTATTTATCTTATTTAATTTATTGGTTAATATACATGAACAGAATTTACCTAATATACATTATTGGATAGTGATTATGAGTTCTTATTGTCATTAAAAAATATAAGAATAAAAAACAATGCCAATGAAGGTTGGGCTATTGGCCTATGCAATATTCTATCAGTTTCAAAAATAAAATATACTCGTATATTATCAAATTTATATAATGAAAAAAGAGTTAATACCCAAAATCGTCTTCGACTATAGTGGTTTTTCTCAATTTTGTCCTAAACGACTTCGGTGACTTAATGTAGTCCCAAAGTTTTGTGTTTTTACTCAATTTCGTCCCAGACTTTTGTGTTTTTGATCAATTTAGTCCCCCATTTGTTATTTCGTCCATTTGTTGTTAAATAAATAGACAATTCAGTAATTTTAATATTGACATTTCTTTATTCATAGACATGTGAAGTGCGAAATCCCTCTTTTTGTTACGAATTACTCCCAGAATCACTTTTAAAGCTGCGAATATAAAATTTGATTCGTAGGTCTGAGAGTAATTCTGGGTGTAATTCGTGTAAGAAAGAGAGATTTCTCACTTCGCAGGTTCAAAGTAAAGAGAGGTCAATATTGATATTATTGAATTGTCCCTTTATTTAACACCAATTTGACGGAATAACAAACGGAGGACTAAATTGAGCGAAACACAAAAGTCTGGGACTATATTAGGTCATCAAAGTCGTTTAGGACAAAATTGAGAAAAACAACTATAGTCGAAGACGATTTTGGATATTAACTCAATGAAAAAATATGATGTGACAATCCACGTCAAATTAAAATTTTCTATAATTTTATAATGTCGTGTGTAATTTTAAAATTTAATTTTTCAACTTTGCAGTTGCATTAAGAATGCACTCAGTAATTATCCCAACTGTTAAATCATTCATTTAATATTTGACTATAGGTAGAATCAACTTTTCTATTGTCAATGAATATTATCATTGAGTGTGATAAGATTGGATTTTTATCCCGTTTTAACCCCCCCTCCTTCTCCCCACAAAGATGGATATTATCATTGATGAATGTGTTGATTTTAATTAATAAAAAGTTGAATATAACATCCTTTATTTATATAATAAAGCTATATGGTTTGAGAAATAATTAATGTTACAATTAATGTCACAACATTAATGTCACAACATCCTTTAAAAAAAAAAAAAAAAACACACACACACACACACAACATTTTTAAAAAATAAAATAGCTATATATTATATAATCATATAAAAAATGTGTTCAATTAGAGTTTAAATTTACACATGCAAAATTTGAAATTTGCTTTCCAAATGTAATTATCTTAGTTATTATTTGTATTATGAAAATTATAATATAGATGAAATACAATTAAGAATAAATCAATGTAATTATGTAAATTATCTCTATAAGTTTATTTGAATATGCACATAATTAGAGATTATATTAACCATACAAAATTATAATTTTAATTTAATTTTAATTTTAATTTTAATTGTAATTTTGTATTCTATAAAAATAATAAATACTTGATCAATGGAAGCTCAAAAATATTATTATATTAAATAATTTAAAATATTTTACTTGTTCTATTTTTTATTTATATTTATAATAACATAATTTTTTTCGTGCATCCCGCAGGTGAATTACTAGTTCTAAATTATAGGGCAACGAATTCTGATGTCGGTTCCTTTGGTTGACAATCTTCTATTCTTTCTTGTATCTAACACTATTTCTATTAATATATATTGCCTTTGGTTTTTTTTGTCCACCAAAAAAAAAAACAAAAACAAAAACAAAACAAAACAAAAAACACCAAAAATAAATAAATACTACATCGAGATTATCTTAGGTAAAATTCAAACGGTTGAGTATTTAATGGCAAAGTATGCCGTGCATCCGTATGCACCATGCATGGTGCAAACGGATGCAAAAACGACGTCATTTTATTAAAAACGCGCGTCTCACATAAAGAAAAAAAAAATCAGTTTCGATTCCCAGCAACAATATTATATTGTGCATAATTTGACCTATATATCCATAATCAATGAACTAAAATTCCAGAATCGATGAACTAAAATTCCAGAATCTATGAACTAAAATTCCAGAATGAATGAACTAAGGGTCCGTTTGGAAAGCAGGAAAATGACTTGTGGAAAATGACTTCTGAAAAATGAGTCATTTTCCAAAGTCATTTTCCTTTCCGGTGTTTGGCTGCAAAATGGAAAACTGTATTTTGGTGTTTGGCTCATTTTCTGAAAATGATGTATAATTGTATAATTAAACATTTTATATAATTAATCATTTTATTTAAAATATATATTTATTTATAAAATCAAATAATATTATTTATTAAAAAAAATTTAAAAAAAAAAACAAAAACAAAACAAAGAAAAGACGCTTCCGCCGTTTTCTCGGCTTCCGGCCAGAAAGGCGGAAACCAGAGATTTCCGCGGCCGGAAACCAGAGAAAGCTCTCTGGTTTCCGCCGGAAGGAAACCAGAGAGTTCTCTGGTTTCCGCCGGAAGGAAACCAGAGAGTTCTCTGGTTTCCGCCGGAAGGAAACCAGAGAGAACCAGAGAGTTCTCTCTGGTTTCCGGTGGAAGGAAACCAGAGAAAAGATCTGGGGAAGGAGGAAGCTAATGAATGTTGTTGAAGGATGGTGTTGTTGAAGGAGAAGGCTGCTGCGTGTGTGTGTGTTTAGAAGATGGAAAATGACTTCCCCCCAGAAAATTGCCTTTCTTTTTCATTGACTTCTCCTCATTTTCCTTTGACCAGTCATTTTCCAATGTAGCCAAACACCAAAAACCCGGATGATTTTCAGAAGTCATTTTTCGGGTTTCCAAACACACCCTAAAAATCCATAATGAATGAACTAAATATCCATAATGAATGTACTAAATGTCCAGCATGAATGAAAAAAAATCAATTTCGATTCACGTCTAAATATCCATAATCAATGAACTAAAATTCCAGAATGAATGAACAACTAACATAATGCTGTTGAGAGAAATCGAAACTGATTTTTTTAAGTGGGATGCACGTTTTTAATAAAACGACGTCGCTTTTACATCCGCATGCACATCATAACGATCCGTATTTAATGGCAATTTATATCCTACACCACGGCGCGTGTTGCACTATGCGCCCAGATGCAAAACGACGTCGTTTTAATTTTTTTTTTTTTTTTTTTTTGAAATTTCCCGCCCCAATGAATGACAGTAGTTTTTTCTTTAAAAAAAAAAAAAAACCGCTGTTCAGGAATGTACATAATGTTATACTAGAATACACATAATGTTATACATGAATGTACATAATTATATAACAAAATATACATACTCTTTTTAAAAGATAATACACATAATCTAACATAATACATAATAAACTTTTAACATAATACACATCAACTCTTAACATAATACACACAAATTTTCTGATTCGGATGTACATAATTGTATAAAAAGAATGTACATAATTGTATAAAAAATACACATAACTGTATGAACCAATACACATAACGTTGTGAACAAATACACATAACGTTGTGAACAAATACACATAATCTCAGCAACTTCCTATCGCGCCTCGCCTCCCAATACTACCCCAAAACGACGTCGTTTTGAGAGGCGCGCGGCGCACAGTGCTATGTGCGCCGTGGTGTAGGATTGGTATTTAATTAAGGGTCATGTTTTCGGGCCTTTGAAGCCCAAAATGTAAAAGAATATGGAACAGATTGTTGGGTCGACAACATTTTACATGAAAAGTGGTATATTTGATTTAAGCAAAGCAAAAACTGTTTGGTCTGATTCATAACTTATGGGCCTAAATGAACTTTGCTTTTTTATTTGTACCTTTCTTTCCTTACCATATCAACCTTTGATTGGTGAGAAAGTTTGTAATTACTAATAAAAATACACTTTGGGTAAAGTTTGCTTTATAACTTTATTTTGCTAGCTGTCCCATGGTACAAGATAAAGGGAAATATGACCCATCAAATTTCAAAATTTACAAGATTGCAAAAAAGTTATTTATTTATTATTATTATTATTAATTTTCCTAAGTGGCAAATGAGATATAGATTTGTAATCCACACCCTTTCATGGTAATGAAGACCTTCAACAATAAAGTGATAAAGATTTTTGTGCACAAAATGTACATACAACGAATAGGAACTTGAAAATTGATAGGATAATTTGGAGTAAATACCCAAAATGGTCCCTTGACTATTGCTAAATTCACAAATTGGTCCTCGAGTTTTAATTTTAACTAATTAAGTCCTTAACTTTGTAATTTTGACACGATTTGGTCCTCCATCTATTTTACCGTTTGTTGATCGTGATTGACGATCTCCAGAAGAACCTGCAGCTCTCGTCGGAGCACGTGGAGGCCTCCAGGATGACGTTGCACTGGTTCGGAAACATGTCGTCTTCTTCGCTCTGGTACGAACTCAACTACATTGAATTCAAAGGGAGGATGAAGAAAGGCGGCCGGATTTGGTAGATTGCTTT